AAGTAGAGTCATTTTCTCATAGACTTCTATACAACCAGAGGAGTCGCGCCCTGGTGGACACTAGAGAGAATGCAGGTTATACACATGAAGCGGAGGATGACGCCTGGTTTTAACCTGCTATGATGCAATAACTTGGTGTGTTTAGATAAAGCGGTCGTCTCGTTAGTTGTGCTTAGAGATTCATTCCTTAACAATGAAGAAGACTTCTCTTTTATGTCTAATCTGTTAACTCACAGTCTGATCATGTTTTATGTCTTTTCTGAGTGTGCATTGAATGCATCTTCAGACTCTAATATAAGGACTGGGAGGTCACGTTGAGCGCAGAGAGAGCGAGCTGAGAGCAGAACAATCAGGTGAAGCAGCGATTAACATCTTAGCGCTGCAGGTGTGTTTCCTTTTACTTAAGCGTTGATCCTCTTCCTGTCACCGTTAGCTCCGTCAGCATTGCACGTTGCCGTGCTCAGAGTCGCGTTCAGGCGAGAGGAGGTCGTTGAGCTTCTGGAGGTTTATTTACTGACTGAGAGCTGAAGCCCTTTGATCCAGTCACAGAGTTATAATAATACTATTATGGTTATTAAACTAATATCACGATAACAGAGGAACAAGCGCTGACTGATGTTCTTCCATCCTTTCATCTCCCAAACACAACCAGCTCCTCCGGTTCTGGTTCCTGATGTTTAACCCAGTAGGTTCCGTCAGGGTTGGTTCCTTCAGAAACTCAAAGACTAACCTTTTTATTGTCTCTCCTAGAACTCTAGTCCGGATTAAACGCGTATGTTAGTTTTACGTGTTTGTGGTGTGTCTTTTAGCATGAAATCAGAAGCTGAATCTGTAATAAATGGTTTATAATAGAGATGTAGACCATAGTGGATCTGTGATCCGTACTGACCCCCCTCACAGTCTCCTCCTCCTCTTCCTCCTCCTCCCCCCCAGCAGACGCCTACCTAGCATCATGACCCAGCAGATGCAGAACCTTCAGTTGTCTCAGACCAGGAAGTGTCCCGGTGGTCCGGCCTCGCCGAGCGCCGCCAAGCGTCTCTACAGGAACCTGTCGGAGAAGCTGCGAGGAAGCACCTCCTCGTTTGAAGACGCCTACTTCTTCGGCAAGACGGACCGCCTCCGCAAAGCCTCGGTGAGTCTTTATGGACTCATCATCATCATCATCATCTTCATCTTCATCATCTCACACCTCCAGCTGACTAATTTAAACGATGCAAAAATAAACTTAAATATTTCAGAGCTCAAGAAAGACAATTTGTTTACATACAAGAATAAAGAACTGATGAGAGTATTGATCAGAGGCCAAACCCTCGTCTTATTCATAATAATATCTTAACGATGCCCATCCCTACATGCAACAAATAAACATCTGAGATGAAAGGAAAGGAAAATAAAAGCTAATTTAGGAAAATAATGATCCTTTTGAGAGACACATACGTATAAACATATAAATAATAAACATTCTACCAAATCCTGGAGGGAAACCTTCTGCTTGTGTCTCATGAAGGATCAATAAAGATCTGGTTCAGTTCCTCTTCATCATCAAACCGGTTCCTCCCTCGTCTTCAGTCTTCTCACTCGCTCCATGTTCATGTCACTAGAGCACTTCTCACTCTTCATCATCATCGTCATCATCGCGTCCTTCCTGCTGCACTGAGAAACATTTGGTCTCTGAGATTCATCGTGTGTGTGTGTGTCTATGTGCGTGCGTGCGTGTGTGTGTGTGTGTGTGTGTCTATGTGCGTGCGTGCGTGTCTATGTGCGTGCGTGCGTGTGTGTGTGCTGACATTTACGGACCACTCACAACAGCAGACATGAAAAAGAGGCAGACGGGGGAGGATGATGATGATGATGAGGATGATGAATGTGTAACATGAAATCTCTCAAAGACGAGATGTGTCACAAACAAATATAAATATAGTTTATAGTTAAAAGTTATTAATCAGCTGTTAATATTATAATATTGATGATATAATAAAAGCTCTTCTAACAGACATCCAGATGTTTGATTCTCATGTGAAACAGTTTGAGTCACATGAAGAACGAGTTTGATTATTGATCAGTAGATATTGATTGAAGAGGTTTAAACTGTGATTATTAGGATTAAATTCAGTGAAATATAATAAAACAGAGTATTAAATGATGGACCTTCTTCTTGTTGATAATTTGTATCTTTGTGTCTTCTTCTCTCCCGTTAAAGTTCACGTTTCCTCTCAAACTCCAGCAGAGAAGAAGATTGTTGTCGTTGGTCGACGTCTGCAGAGTTCATGTTTCACACTTTATCTACTTTACTCTCCGTCATGTGACCGTGTGTAACTGTGGCTCTTGTTTCCATGCAGACGATGCAGGGCGGCGACTGTCTCTTCGAGGCCGTGGAGCAGCAGGACCTGGACACGGTGCAGATCCTCCTCTACCAGTTCTCGGCCGAGGAGCTGGACCTGAACACCCCCAACAGCCAGGGCCTGACGCCGCTGGACATCGCCATCATGACCAACAACACGCCCATCGCCAAGCTGCTGCTGAAGGCCGGCGCCAAGGAGAGTCCTCACTGTGAGTACCTGTAGTTCAGTCTGCAGCCTGAGGGGCCGCTGTGGTTCTAAAACGCCCATTAGCCCCCTGTGTGTGTGTGTGTGTGTGTGTGTGTGTGTGTGTGTGTGTGTGTGT